CATTTATGGTATTGCCTCAGTTTCTTAGGATTTTCTTATTTTTTATAAGGTAACATGCAGAAAAAAATCTACATGCAAGATGAACTAAATTTATTAGCTATTGATTATATCTGTATCCTAGGAGTGTTTACAAAGTAAAGAATACAGTGAAATAGCTTTCCTTATTAAACGTTGCTTCTGAAATTTGATTAATACTCTTTATACATACAATAAAACAAGATTTGGTCATTAAAAAAATGTAAGCTTTAGCTTCTGAATTAGTCTTGGGTGAACAATTCCTTCTTTGTGGCTCTCTTCTTCCATTGGGTTCAGGTCATAAGATACTTGATCTAGAACCTGAGTTTTTAACCTTTTCCCCTTTTGCAGCAGTTTGAGGCCTACCATGAACATTTCTTTTTAAAAATGTTTTTAAGTATGTAAAATAAAATACGTAACATTATAAAGGAAACTCGTTGTGTTGGAATACAGTTATCAAAATATTTTTTTTTTAAATTCCCAGATCTCCAGTCTAGAGGCTAGAAGGAACCTTTTACAAGGAGGAAACTTAGATCCAGACTTGCAAAGTGCATTACCCTTTGGATTATCTACATAGAAACAAAAGAAGATGCATTTCCTAGGAAATTCATGTGATATCAATATGAAACAAAATTCAAGCTTTAATAAATTGCTCTAAATATAGCTCCCTACAGATAAAAGAATGATTTGTGGCCATCTTTTGTATATAGAGTGGGTAGACTGGTGTGTGGAGGATTGTGTCAGATACTCTTATGACTGAATGTGTACATACTAGACTGAGAGAGACCAGCTGACTACAAACAGGGATAAGAAAACATATTGCTTGGCAAATCTAGAGCAAAAGTATTTTTCTTCTAGATTACAGAAATAATCATTCTGTTGTTTGTTTTTTCTTAAGCCAGAGCTAACTACTATTTATCATAAGCACATGCTGACTACAATTTATAAGTGGCATTTGAAAATGACACAGTAGAATGATATTGAACCGTGCAAAAAGTTCACAAAAACAATTTTATTTACAGTGTTTAATAGAGTATGCACACAGGTAGGACACAGGTTTGGATTCATTAAGTCTTCATGCAGAATTATATTCTCCCTAAAATAAGCCAGTTCCATCCAGGATTCACTACTTACATGCCTATGTTACAACATTTATAACAAATATGGTATCTGAAGAAAAGATACACATATAATATGTTCATTTAAGTTACTTATTTTACAGAAAGATTAAAAATTCAAATTACACAAAACTCAAAAACTGTATGAAAAATTTGAATATGAAATTGAGAGATCCCACTGGAATGCCTAAGGAGTGGAAGCTCTGTATCCACCTGTGTTAAAATCAGTAATATGTAATGAAATATTACCAATAAAATGCTTTCATCTGTTCATTTTAAGTTTTCTAATTTAGCAGTTAACAATATGGCACCCTAAGAAACCCAATGAATTGTTATGATGAGGCACTTTTGTTAGTGACTAAGCCAAAAGAACAAATTAGCTGAGTACTAATGCCAGCTGTTTTACTCGTCAATTTCTGGTCAAAACCCTTGTATAGATTACACAGCATGTTGCAACAAATACCTTGCTTATTTGCATGCAACCATCGTGTGTGTGTGTGTGTGTGTGTGTGTGTGTGTGTGTGTGTGTGTGTGTGTGTGTACACATATTTTTCTCAACTTTATGTTCTTCTGGCCATAGAAATGCATGGTGAAGACATTCCACAGTGCACATTGATGAAACCAGCCCAAAATGAAGGCTGCATAATAGCAATTCTAGTACAGAAACATATGTACAGAGTTATTGGACAGTAGCTTTTGAGTGGCTGTAGTGGACTCATCCCTCCAGTTTAGAGACACTGATGAAACTGATTTAGTTCCTGGGGTTAGGGATGGTTTTTGAGGATTGGCAACAGGTATAAGAGTATCATTTTGGTTGACATTCTGGAAGTTTTCGCCATTTATTTGTTCAAGTGATTGGGATGGTATGGAAGGAAGGGGTCTGTTTGTCAAACGGAGGGTGCTAGGGGAGCTGCCTCCATCTGATCTATAGATTTCTATTTTCTTTGTGTTCTCCGGTCTATGCTCTCTGTGATCTCCTGTGTTCAGACCAAAAGTGCTAGCATGTAAGCATTCTCTTGCGAGTAATCACCTGAATGGTAATGTGTTTGTTTCAAGTAGTATTGTTTCAAATTGGTAAACTTTTGTATCATTATATGAAGTAGGTTTTCATAATTTGAATGTTATAACATGTAAACTGAAAGAAACTAAAGGATGGTGGAAAAATTGTGTAAAACCAGTTATATTACTTTGTCAGATGTGCTAACCTAGAAAACCAGGTATTTCTACCCTTATCTGTAATTAAAGAAGGGGTAGAAAACCAGGTATTTCTACCCTTATCTGTAATTAAAGAAGGGGTTATAGCTAACATAATTTGAGTATCACTTATGAAAGTAATAAGATTGTTAACTAAGTTATTTGAAGTTATTGTTTCAATGTTAAAACTTAGAATTGTGAATTGATGACCAAGTGTAAAAAGCAGGGGATGGGTAAAAGCCTTCTCCAGATTGCTTCTGCCCATTCAAAATAGTCCTCCTTGGGACACGGGGATCAGCACGCAAGGGCACCAGGATTTGCCCCTCCATGGGGTGAAGGCAATTCCCCATATTTTGTAAACTTGCCAAAGTCCCTGGAAACCATCTGTGGGGGCAATGTCATCTGCCGTGAGAAAAGTTTGTGGAAAAAGATTGTGTATCTATTCAGTTGTGAGGTTAAATTTAGGAACCTCTTTCATTTAAGGCAGTTTTTGTAAGAAATCCCCTCCCTAATGTAACCAAATCAGAGGTCTCTCCACCCCTTTTATACTGGCTACTCCTTGATGGGAAAATTTTTCTATCTCAACACCCTGTTTCTCAGCTTGTCTCCCTTGCTTGGGTGACGAGTTTTACAGGTAAAGACCCCTGTCAGGGAGGGATTGTAAATGTTTCTGCTGGTCTCGACTTGCACACCTGTAAGGATGCCTACAGTGATGAGTGACCCCAGAAATTTACTTATGCCAGCTGTACCACCTGTTCTGAGAGAACACTCCCTACTTGCATCTGTGACCCAATAACCCCTTGGACCTGGCATTGGCCAAGTTCTGGACACTGGCAAAAAAACCTTGAAGGGAGGGACCCCTGGAGGCAGGGACAGCTCTACACCAATCCCAGCAGGAAACAGTTTCAGAAGCTGAGACGTTCGTCCCTTACCCCAAAAGATTTTGGATTCTATTTATTTAAGGGGGGGAATGATGGGGTGCTGGGGTGCTTGTGTTTGGGTGCTTGTGCTTGGACCCTAGTTTCCCCCTAGCCTCAGAAACACTGTCTCTGGCAGTTTCTCCCAGCCCAAGGACACTATGCCTAGAAATTACTCATGAGTGGGCCCCAGCAAGACCCTCATATCTTTCCCGGTGCAGTTACAAACTGCACCTGAAGGAATTATTAGTTTGAACTGGTTTGCACTGGATTTTGAAGACATTCTTACCAACTGGACTATCTATACTACTGCCCTACAACATTGTCTACATCCTGGAATCCTCATTATCTGTATTTTAGACCTAAGACATGTGTATACTCCCTACATGTGTCTCGTCAAACAAGACATTGACTGGTGGCAGACTGGATAACTCTCAGTTACCCCTGACCTCTAGTTAACTTAGTGATATAGCAGGCCTAAAACCACACCTCCATGTGGCCACCCTTGTGGGATTTTCCTAGTGAAATCTGAGTAAAATGCCTGCACAGTAGATACCAAAAGCGCGTGTTCCTTTAAGAACTGACCACTCTTTTACCACTCCCTGATCCCGCCCTGAATCACATGAGCATATTTGGCACAAGTTTTATTGTATTTTATCCTATATAAACTTTAACTGTACCCTCTAAGCTCACAGGTTCCTTAAGAATCCTTGCCCACTGTAAAGTGTAACAAAAACTTTTTGCCAACTTGACTTAAAGAATGCTTGAGTCCATGAATTCATTCCAGATGACCTCATCCTGTACTCCAGTCTTTGAGGGGTCTGAACCTGTCAGACTGTAACAGCACCATTCAAGAGAATGCTGATTCTGAAATTTCGTTTTTTTTCAACTTTGGGGGAGATTTGTTTTCAAAATTAAGGAGCTGAGTCCCATGCCACGCCTTGGACACATGGCTAAATGCTTTATGACTTAAAAAACTGGTAGATCATACCATGCTATTTCTCCTCAGGGTCTGCTTTCACAAATAAAAGAAACAGCAGAAAAACTTGAAGAAAGTAGCATCGATCTGTTTAAAATGCTCTTAAAAGAAAATTTACAGCACAGATCAACTATTTTGGCATTTACAAGAATGGGGGATTTCTGCAGACAAGGCAGCTACAGTGTGGGCAACAGTCCTCCTTCTTCCTACAGGTCCAGCTGTCCATCACGGACACCACAGCGTCCACTAGTGACATGACCACGGGATAGACGCCTCCTGTTTCGCCTGTTGTGCAACATCAGTATAGATTTGCCTGTGTCACAAAGTGCGGAAACCCCCTTTAGTACTAGAACAAGAACTAGAGACAAAGGGAGAGGACTGGGAGACAATATGCCCGGTTAGTGGAACAGTACAGCAGGGAAATAGTGTTCGCCAAAAGACTCTAGAAAACTCAAGCGTCACCGAGAAAGAGGGGACCAGCTGAGAAATAGGGAAGCTAACTTGGAAGAGACTGATTTTTACTAGACATTACACAGGTAGGTGAAACTAGTGCCATTAGTTCTAAATATTTAACTTTGTGCTTTTAAAATGCATTGCTAGCCTTGGGTATGATAGTGATTTTTACCATTTGGAAGGTCCCACTTTCTGCCATCACAGCCACCACATATTCAGTAGCATTGATCTGTTTTACCTTGTGATGACAATTACATGGATAACTGTGAATAAAGAGAACAGAGCTATGCATGCTCATCTCCCCTCCTATGTCCAAATCTGACAGACTTGTCAACAAGCATTCCAACTCCATGCACTGCCAATGGCATTATAATCACTGGAAGATACTTAAGATCAGTCAGAAAAAGGAGAATCAGTTCATTAGTGGAAAGGAAAAAACAAGGAGAAAAAGAAAAATCATAGTGAATTATTACTTATGCCTTATTTACTTTATCATTCTAATAGAAGCCAGTAGGTTTGTCTAGCCTACAGGTTACCACCGCCCAGGCAAAGTTACCTGATACATCTCCAGGAGATACGCCCGTCCTTCCAATGTCGGTCAGTAAAGGATCTATGTTAGGCACTGGCTGAGATTTTACAGTGTTTTCCTCCTGAACTGTTGTCTATGGTTAATAAACAAAGATCCCCTCAACATTTCTTCAAAGTTATGTCATTATATTTTTAACAACATTTAGAAAAGCCTATTGATATTTTAACTTTAATTTTCCACACTGTTTTATCTTAAAACAACAACAGTACTTAGTACCACATTGTTAGCTACTCCTATTTTCATTCAGAAGCAAGGAACCAACTTCTGAATGCAGAGTTAATAGGGCAAATGGCGAACTATGGTCACATTATTGAAAATTTAGGACTCTGTCCCAAATCAAAATAACCAATCATAAAAGCAAAAAGGAACTTACAAGAGGCTCTTCTGCACCTTCTTCTGTGAAAAACCAGTCATGCTAAAAATTTAAAATAAAAAATAAGATGAGAAAACCCTCCAAATTGCCATTAGTATGGAGGACAGGATAGAGAGACAAGATCTGTGTTAAGAGAAAAGAGAAAGAATTTAATTCTAAATGATCTTTCATTCGAAGAGATTTTTCTCAAAGACTAATCACTCACTTACATGTTGGATAAGGGTTTCTACAATTTTGTACTGGTCAGGCATGTGAGTCACCATATGTGTCATATTATCTTCTAAAGATCGCACAAGGGTTGGACCAAAAACAATGGCTAGATTTCTTGGTACCATCTGAAAAAAAGGATGGGAAAGGGTGGAGAGAGGGAAAAGATAGAATTGACTTATTACAAAAACAGCAGAAGTTTTCTGCCACAAAAGTAATGTGATTAATATTCAAAGAAGCTTAAATTTCCAAAAGCCAACCTGCAGTTTCTATCCGAAAGGTTGTCTTGAAGAAAACTACAAGACTGAGGAAGCTTGTTTGGCTGGTGACTCCATACTTGCACATTCACCCCCAGCTTGTATCGTCTCACTCTGTCATTTCTCCCTACCTGCAATGCCAATTCTTATCCATTTCATATCTTTCACCTTTTTAGAAACTGAGTTCAAAACACCTTTCAGGAATCCTAGGGATCCATATGAATAGTCTTAACTCTGAGTGCTTTCTGCAAATATATACTTGGTACTCTTTTAATGACATTGATTGAAACATTGTTTTGTAAATCTTTCTAAGTCTTTGCATATGGGTTGGGTACCCCCAATTTGATTATAAGGGTCTCAAGGACATGGACTTTGTGTGCATTTACTTACATTCCATTGGGCAGAACAACAGTCTATACAATATGTCTAACAATATTAGATGCATGAGAGTTCAGGAAAGGTCACATGAATAACAAACTGTTTAAACTGAGCTTAGAAGGAAGCTAGATATTCTAAGAGGCAGAGGTGAGTCACAATTGTATTTCAGGAATGGTGTCTGCCCTGTGCAAAGGCAGGCAGATGAGAATGACAAGGTCACATATAAAGGAGCAAAAAGAGGGTAGTTTGGCTAGAGCGCTGAGTGCCGGGAAGATAGAATGTGCAACAAGCTGGAGCCAGATTGTGAAGGGCTTAAACACAGAATAAAGGAGATTTTGCTTTTTTCTACAAACAAAACAACTAGAGCTTTGGAAGCAGCAGAGTGATGGGGTTCTATCTGTACATTAGAATCATTTTGAAAGCTGCATGGAGAATGGTTTTGAAATGAGGGAAACTAGAGACATTCCCACTGTAATAATAGTCCAGGTGAGAAACAAGGAGATGGATATAAGAGATGTTGTGAAGGCAAATATTTGGCAACTGATTGGATATAGGAGGGGACAAGGCAGAAAGCAAGTTGTGGATGACCTCAAGATTGTGACTCTGGGTACCTGAAGGATGGTGGTTCCCTCAACAAAAATAGGGACATTTGGAAGTTGTGGAGGAAAGATAAGTTGTGATTATCTAACACTGAGGTTAAGAAGGCTGTCAGACAAATACAGTCTGAAATGTTCAACAGGCAGTTCATGATGGGGGACCTGAATCTCAGTAGAGTGCCTGAGGCTGGATATTTACAGATGTGGGAGTCCTTCATATATATATATATATATATATATATATATATATATATATATATATATATATTGGTCATTCAAACCATAGGAGATGATGAGGAAAACCTAGAGAAGAGAGAATATCCAGAAGCAGGGGATGGTGAACAATTTCCAATACTGCAGAGATCAAGTGAAAGCATCCATGGAGTGCTTTCTATGTGTCAGGCCCTGGGCTAAGTAAGCGCTGCAGACAGGAGATAAAGCCCTCAAAGAGTTTACAGTATAATGGGAGTGGGATGAGAGAAGACCCTAACATTATTAAGGAAGGCTAGGAGAGGATTCTTGTGGAAGGTGGGATTTCAGCTGACACTTGAAGGAAGAATAAAACCTGGGAAGAGGTCTTTTGGCTTGGCAAACAGATCATCTGCAGCTCTGGGTTGTGGTTAAGAGGAAGGGCAGAGGCACTGAGTGCAGACAGCTTTTCCTAGGAGTTTGCTTATGAAAGGGAGAAAAGAGAAAGTACCAATAGCTTTCAGGGATGCTGGGGGCAAGGAAATATTTTTTTTCCCCTTAAAGGGGAGAAGAGTAAAATACATTGTGGACAGGTGATAGTGAGAAGGGAAGAGAAGGGGAGGACTGGTTTTGAAGGGAAGGGTTACCTCTTCATCAGACACTAGAACTCTGAAGCAAACATGACAGGATTTAGAGTCAGAAGATATTCTAGCTCCTTTTTTAGAGTAGGAAACTCAGGCCTTAAAATTAATTAATATGTTCAAGGTCACATAGCAGGTAGTAGTCAGTAGAGCTCGGATTTATACCTAAGTTTTTAATTGAATTATACTGTTCAATTTAAGTGAAACCACATTACTATTGCCTGGCATAATGTCAAAAAGCAAATCAAGTCTCTTACCACCAAGAAATCTTCATGCACCAAAGATGCAAACTGCTGCAATGTATACTACTAAATGAGAAAGAAGCATATCAAGGGTAGGCCAGCCAAGAAAAAAAGGGAAAGAAGTGCTGGGAGAAGCTAAGGATCTTTTTTTTTTCCTGGCAGATACCAGAGGCAGAAAGGAAACTAAACTGTGAAGGTTTACATAAACGGGGGCCTGGAGCATACCACAGCATTCCCTGTGTTGGAAAGGTTTTTTTGTTAATTTCTTGTTTTGGTTTGTTTTTGCTTTTTGGTGAGGTAAAAGGGTTAAGTGACTTGCCCAGGGTCACACAGCTAGGAAGTGTCAAGTGTCTGAGGTTGCACTGGAACTCAGATCCTCCTGACTCCAAGGCCAGAGAATCTATCCACTGTGCCACCAAGCTGCCCCTGGAAACTCTTTTTAAAACTATTATGTTTTTAAAGGTTCAAAGTCATCCATCACACACACAATTCTTTCTGTTAATCTTTCCCACTCCTATCATACTGACCCGGCAATTATGAGCTGTGTGAAGGCCAGGAGATGAGAAAGACAGACATATCTAAGGAGTAGGAAGAAAAATATCTGAACCATCAGAACTAGTTTACATCTGTGCCCTTTCTTTCTGCTGTTTCTAGATCTGGGGACCTACTTGGTGATTAAGCCAGCTAGACAAATTCGTACCCATTCCTTTTCATTAGAAGTCTACTTTGGATTTTGTTACATAGACCATAAAGTTTTGATTCAAAATGTTAAAGAATATTTCTAGAATTCTTTATTTACCTACCTTTTTTTTCTATAGTGCCAAAGTTCCATGAAAGCAGAGGCTTTGGCTTTACCATTCCTCTCCTTTTCCTGCCCTCAATACCGACCACAAGATCAGTTATATCCATATGTATAGTTTTATCAATATGTGTGTGTGACATGCTCAGCAGAGATTTGTTGATTTACTAAAAACATGTAAATAAAGGTAATGTATACTAACATGTTTAAAAATTCTGTCTGGGAGAGTAAGAAATGTTATTCTGAGCCAGAAATAAGGAGGGGCCCAACAATGTAGTTTGGCTGAATGGCAATAAACTTGTTTTCATGGATTCTAAATAGCAAAATTTACCCCCAAAAACCCAGTTTACTACCACAGAACTTTACTTCCACTTTAATTTTCTTTAAATTAAAAACTTAGGTGTTCATTCAACTGGGTTTAGAGAAGATAACTTACCATTTGTGAAGAGAGGCTCAGGGAGTTTTTCTGAAGAATGATTTCAGCAGACTACTGACATTCAAGTCTCGCCATTTCTAGGTATTCAGAAGGAAATATGTAATACGTCACAGTCACCATAACATGGTGAAATATGAAATGAATGAATGAACTTACATCATCCTGTATATCAATATCAGCCATTCCTTTGTTGAATTCCTCTTGCATTCTTGAGATAGCAGCATTATTTCAGGAACTCTGTAAATTCCTGTATGGTCAAGTCCTCTTCTTCAACTAATTTGCAGCATATGTCAGCTATTAGTGGAATATACTACATTATACTACAAAAGAAAAGAGACAATTCTTATTTTTTAGAGGCCTCAAATGATCACTAAGCTATTTTTATCTCTACAAAAATATATTTCTCAAAAAAAGATTAGCTCTTTAGGTCATGTGAGAATCAAAAGAATAGTGAGTTCGTTGTAACTGAGTTAAACATATTTGGACTGCTGAGATGGAAATGAGGATGTAAGAGGGGAAAGTTATCATAGAGTAATTGGTGTGGGAGTCTGGAAGATTAGTTTCAGAATCCTGCCTTCAGCATTTATTAGCTGTGAGAATGGTGAGCCGGTGACTTCCCTCTGTCAAGACCCAGTTTCCATGAAAAGGGTCTAATGATGACTGCAGCATCTTTTTCACAGGGTTGTTATTGTAAAGCTTTGTAAGTCTTCAAGTGCCAAATATGGTTGTTCTGATGACTGTCAAATGACTGGATATGTTCTGGCTGGGCAAAGAACACTACAAGTCAGGCAATTAGCTCATGAACAGAGTATGGGGAATGCAAATTGCTCTTAAAGAAGGTCAACTTTACTTCAGACTTGAAATCTAGCTTTTTACACACCTCTCCCAAACACATATTGTAATCAAGCAAATTCAATGCATACTGTCTTCATTAGGCTTCTGTTTTACAAAATGCACATTGATTTAATGTCTCAAAAAAGATATTGGCCTGCCAGCTGTTTTCTAAACTTGGCCTCTTGTTGAGGGCAGAGACTAACCAGGGGACTGGCAGGGACAGGGGGCGGGGTTTAATGGAGAGAGGTAGCTGCTCAAATGAGGCTTGCAGGAAGAACAGGACTTCCAGAGGTTCACTTAGGGATGTCACTCTGGCTTGAGTGAACAGATGCTCGTAGCACATCAAACTTCAATTTGGGGATACAAAGTTAGTATACATCTATACGGAGCACAATCCTAATAAAGTTTCAGAAAACAACAGGCAGGCTTCCAGAAATGATAGTGTCTTTAATGTAATCCATCTTTGTGGTAACTAATGGCTAAAAAGGGTAGCGAATGCAATATTCTGCTGCTTCTTGACTATCCAAACTGTTTCCATTTGAATTGTCTTAGGAAGATTCTGAAGATCACCTGGCAAGATAAGGTACCCAGCAACTGATGTCCTCTCTGAGGCTGACCTGCCAAGCATTCAAATCCTACTGCAGAGAGCACAGCTCCCATGGGCTGGCCACATTGTGCGAATGACTACCATATGTTTGCCGGAAAGACTATTTGATGGAGAACTAGCACAAGGCAAATGCTCACGCACAGGTTAGAAGAAGCAGTACAAGGACACTCTCAAGGTTTCTCAGAAGAACTTTACTATCAATTGTGAGACATGGGAGATGTTGGCACAGGACTGCCCAGCCTGGTATGCCCGCATCCAGCATGG